GGATAGGGAGAAAAGGATGGGAATGGGAAAAGGGATGGAGATAGAGATGGGAAAAGGGATGGAGATGGAGATGGGGATGGAAATAGGGGTGAGGATGTGGATGGGGATGCGGACAGGTGTGGGGATGGGGATGGGGCATCCTCCCACCCGAATGCCCCCTCCCTCCCCTCCCCTTCTGATAATCCTATTTTTGAACCAAGGGATTAGGATCAATACTTCACTCCTAATGCTGCGGTAATACAGTGTTACACCGCCAGCGCCAGATCCCTGCTGAAACACTTAAGGTAGTTTAAACCCATTTGTGTCGGGGAGTGCCGTGAATTCACAACGAGGTTTTTTTTTTCTTCTTCTTCTTTTTTTTTGCAGAGCCGTAGCGCAGCGCTGGTTGATGGGTGCCGTCCCACAGCTGCCCGCTCTGCGTACGGCGCCCTGCAGAGCTGCAAGGGGGGGGGCAGGGCAACGAGGCCCTTGTGCAAACACCCCTCGTGCAAACCAACAACGCCCCTCGTGCAACGGAACCCTCGTGCAAAGCGTTTTGGGTTCAGGGTGGAACAGGGCGATGCTTCGCTCCAAATTGGCCGAGGGGTTTCCAGGCGAAATCCCAGGGAATAGAAACACAAATATTTCCATCCAGTGCTATAATTATGAATTAGAGCAAAGCTCTGTCTTTATTAGGTGCTAATAGAGATAAAGGGGGTTTTGAAATGCAAGGCACAGCTATATAAATGCTAATTCACCCAGAGACCTCCTCTCTCCCCAGACCGCCAGAACGAGGGTTTCAAGGCAACTTCTCACCAAAAAGAAAAAAAAAAAAAAGAAAAAGCGGTGAACAAACTCCAAGAAAGCATCTCAGCAACTTCATTAACTCTGCGTAACAACGCAGCGCTCCACCCTCTGCCCCTGGGGCTGCTGCCATGGGCTGGGGACCCTGCTGTGCTCCAGCTGTCACCCAAAGGTGTCCCAGAGCTCCTGGTGGGACGTGGGTGCTGCTGGATGCACCTGCATGCATGCTGACTGCAACGGTGCATGCACCACAGCATGCATTGGTGCACAGGTATTGCAGCACGCACACTGCAGCACGCAGATCCATTGCAGCATGCATTGCTGCACCCACGTGTTGCATTGGTGCACGTGAAGCTGAACTGCTGGGCATGGAAACGACACAACATGTGACGTTGGGATCATTTGTTCTCCCCCCCACCAGCGTTACCCAGTGCCCCCCATCCCTCTCTTAACCCCCACCCCATTGGGGATAATTGCTTTGTTTACCATTTCCCTGACCCCAAAAAGACAAGGGGATGTTGCACGAAACCAATAGGTTCCAAAAGCCCACATCTCAACGTGCTGCAGGTTCTGACCCCACGCAGGTTCGTGGCTGTGAGCCCGGCTCTAATCAAGAGCTGATGGGGAACGGCTGCAGAACGTTCAGCAAACGCTGCTGCCTTCGGTTTAAGTGCTTAAAAGCTTTCAAGGTGGGTTATTAGGGAAATGGGTGGCGTGGATCCTAATGAAGGGAAAGGCAGGCTGCCTCCACGTGTTGGATCGATGCGCTCCTGCTCTGCTCTGGGCTCCTCCTTTTGGGGCCTGCAGCCAAATGTGATGTTGGGATCGTTTGCTCTCCCCCCCACCAGCGTTACCCAGTGCCCCCCATCCTTCTCTTTATCACCCCAAATCTATTTTTCCATTTCTCTCCGTGCCTATTTTCAATCCCACGCAGAGCAATGAGACAATCCCACCGCTGCTCAGCCAAAAGGTGATCAGTGCAATTAGCAGTAGCACTGCTAATCACTCCATAGGGCCACGAATGGGTCCGTGCCCCCTTCTTGGGGCATCACCCACTTCTGCATCCCCACCTGTCTCCTGCAGCACCCAGGAATGCAATGGGACCTCCTGGGATCAGCCACAGAGGGGCTCATCCCTCCGAGCTCCACCGAGCTCAGAATAGTTTTCAATTAAAACAAAAATATCCTATAATAACCCACAGAGGGCTTTTTATTTCCTTCCCTCTTTTTTTTTTTTTTTTTTTTAAAGAAATAAATCTATTATGAGGAGCTTAGAGCTGTATGTAAAACCGGCGAGGGACAATTTGAGGATTAGGGATCGGAACTGTCCTGGTGTGACGAGCAAAGAAAGGAAAATCCCATAGGGCTAAAAGGGGGTGAGGACGGCCTCACAGCTGCCCCTACAGCATCAAAGTCATTTTGCTGCAGCACCCCTGGCTGTGCTCCCATTGATGGCACCGGTCACTTCTGGGTGCAGACAGAGGCAAAGGGTGATGGGCTGTTAACCCCCCCCACCCCATTGGGGATAATTGCTTTGTTTACCACTTCCCTGACCCCAAAAAGACAACGGGATGTTGCACGAAACCAATAGGTTCCAAAAGCAGGCCTGCAGAGAGACACAAATAAAGGCAGCACGGAGGGGTGGATAATGAATCCCTAATGGGAGCAGAGCTCACAGCACCAGGCTGCGCTTTTGGGGACTGATAGCCGCCCTCCTGGCCCAGCGTTGCAGCACAGAGCTGTGCCATATGGGCTCAACGGGGCAGGAGGGGCACCCCATCCACACACTGCCACCCCCAGACCCCCTCCCAGCCTCCTGCCTTAACGCACCACCTCTATTTATTCTGCTCCTGTAACTGTAAAATTGATTTTCTTGCAACAAGACGCTCGTCTTTCACCACTGAACGCACCCAAATGCTCCGACAGAAGACACTGGCAATTTTTAATTAGTTTCCTTTATATCTTTTGCCTCCCCGAGCAGGGATGTGGAACCGGAACAGGGAACCCAAAAAAAGGAACAGGATCCAGAGATGTCAAAACCTTTTTTATTCTTGATACGATTATTAATAACACACAGTTTACCTAACGAGGCAGACGGGCGTGGAGAGCAGGAGCACAGAGTGGTGGGGAAGTGATTATAGGATCTTACAGGAGCATTGTTACATCTTCCCTATGACCTCAGAGCAGCTCATTGCCTCCTGGCCAACAGCTCCCAGCTGCAGCCAGGATCCTCTGCCCTGCTTTAGGGATTGTTTCCCAGGCATGACATGGCATGGTATCCGCATCCCCATCCACATCCCCATCCCTATCCCCATCCCCATCGCCATCACCATCCTCATCCCCATCCCCGTCCTCATCCTCATCCCCATCCTCATCCCCATCCCCATCTTCATCCCCATCCTCATTCCCATCCTCATTCCCATCCCTATCCTCATCCTCATCCCCATTCCTATCCTCATCCCCACCCCCATCGCCATCCTCATCGCCATCCTCATCCTCATCCCCATCCCCATCGCCATCCCCATCCCCATTGCCATCCTCATCGTCATCCTCATCCCCATCCCCATCCTCATCCCCATCCCCATCCCCATCCCCATCCCCATCCCCATCCCCATCCCCATCCCCATCCCCATCCCGGAGCCGTGCCAGGTGTCAGAGCCCCCCGAAGTCGAGCTGCAAACACACGTGGATGGTGCCATCTGCAAAGCAGTAATTAACAGAGCCACGCCTCACATCGCAGCCCTGATAAGGGATAATTAATGCTTTGGGTCCTGGCAGCTGCTGTGTCCATCTGAGTGGATGCACTGAGGAGGATGGCAGTTATTGCTGGAGGTCCTGAGCTCAGCGTGGGGGTGTTCAGGTGAAGTTTTGCTTTCACGTGCCCTCTTCCCCATCCCTCAATAGGGGAGGGGTCTCCTGGCTGGGCTCTGACCCCCAACCCCTGCCTGCCCCATGGCTGTGCTGCTTTGTTCGCTCCCCACTCGAGAAAGTTCACATCAGGCTTTTTTTGTGGGGGGGTTGATTTCAACTCAGCTCCTGCCCCTCCTCCGTGCTGGGGCTGTGCTGTGTGGGCTGTGCAGGACCTTCCCCACGGAAAAGCGTGGGGTGGGAGCTGCCAGCGATGGGGTGAAGCAGGGAGGAGGGGGGGGGGACACGCAGCTCTGACCGCAGCACATGAAAAGTTGTTGGGAGGGGGAAAGGAGGAGAAGGGGGCCGGGCAGGGAAGTCCTGCAGCCTCTCCGTGTCTGCGCTCCGTCTGCTGTCACTCAGCACAGAGTTCTCCTTCAAGTTGTCATCGCGGGGCTGGAGGGGATTATGCCGAGGCACTGTCCAGAATTGATTCATGTGGAACGCGTGCTTGACGAGCGGAACCGCTGGTGTGAGCGGAGCCGCTGAGACCCCCTATTTCCCACCTTCCTCACACAATCCCGTATTGTTCGACCCCAGCCTTCGTGATCCCCGCGCCGGGGCTGTGAGTGACACAGCTTTGAGGCTCTAAGGCGTATTTTGAATTTCTAAAACCTCTCAGGAAGTCCCCGGGGTGCCTTCTGCCATTGTTTCTCCTTTCGCCTTTTTCCCTTTCCACCCCGCTCCCCTCCCGCCTCTCCTTCTCCCTCCCCTGACTCTCACTGTCCCACCGCAGTGGTTTTTTTTTTTCCCCACCCTCTCCCCGTGTTTTGTAGCTCTGGAGCTGCTCAGCCCCTCTGCAAACACAAATCCGACGACGGAAACAAAACGAGCAGAAGAAGCCTCAAAAGTTCCCAAATCCTTCGATCTCGGGGGGGGGGAGGGGAGGAGGAGGAGGAGGCGGCTTTACTTGTTTGTTTTCCATCAGCCGACGCAGAGCCGGGGATGCGCTGAAAAATCGTAATAGGAATCAATCTTCAGCCCAAGCTGATGCCGTGCGTCTGTCTGGTGTCCGTCTGTCCTCAGTGCTCCATCCCTGGGGCAGTGTGGGGAACCCCAGAGGGGGGCTCGCAGGACCCCAGTTGGAGTATTTCCCCCCCCCTGCCACCTTGGCACTATATAACCATTTCCCATTTCCAGTCTTAATCTTATAAGAATGAATTGAGAATGACCAGCGTAAATACACAGGTGCCACTGGGAGCAGAAAGCACTCTTTAATCTCAGATATGAAAACAATTCCCTGCACTGCTCACTAGCAATCAGCAAGTGCTATCAGTGCCGCGCGCTCCCTGGGAACAGGAGAGCTTATAAATATGAATTAGTGCAGAGAAAATCTACTCTCTTACCTAAAGCTAAATGTTATCTGGGTCCCTTTCCAGCAGTGGCTGACATTTCCAGAGTGCTTTTAGTCACATCTGTGGGAAGACAACTCATTCCTTTCTTTTTTTTTTTTAAAAAAAGGGGGGGGGGGGGGGGAAGAGAGAGGAAAAGGAATGAAAGAGGAAGTGGGGGAGTGGGAGGTGAGGTGGAGGAAGAGCTTCCTTTGTTCCAGGAGGGAAACGTGGGAGCCTGAGGCTGCTGTAGGAGCTTGGCTGGGTTGGGAGGGATGAAGCAGAGCTGAGAGCATCCCTAAGGGTGGTCCCTGAGCGGGGGTATTGGGTGCCTGCTGTGCTGCACTGCTGGGGAAACTGAGGCACGGTGCAGTCTGAGGGCAGTGGGAGCACTGCCAAAGGGCAGAGCAGGATGGGGGCTGTGGGGTGGGCTTTGCTGGGGGGTCTCGTGCAGACCGACCCACCCTGAGGGTCACAGCGTGTCCCATCTGCTCAGACCCCGCACATCCTCTGCTCCGACCTCGAAAACGTCTCCGCGAGGGAAGGGCCAACGGAGCGCGCAGCCAACGGGGTGCTTACTCTGCCTTTTAGGTTTTTAATGAGCGGTTGCTGGCAGGAATGCTAACACCACTCAGCAGACAGACCTGCCCGCTGTCGGTGTGCTCTGCGTCCTTGTCTGGCTGCGCTGAGCTCTGACCTCATTTGCTCGGTGCCATTCAATTAACAAGGCGAGCGGCGCTGGGGAAGGTGGGGATGCCGGGGGGGGGGCATTAACAGTATGTATTAATTTCCATTTTTGGTTCTGAACAATTGAGCATCGCTCAGCAACGGCTGCAGGAGGCTCTCGTGGTGCTGCCATCACCCAGGGCTGCGTGGGGTTGAGCTGGGGGTCCAGCTCTGCTTTCACCCCCACCCACGGTCAGAGCAGACCCCCCTCCTTTGGGTTTGCTGGAACATCGATGGAGGTGTGATGAGACAGAAGTGAGGGTGAGAAGGGGAGAGAAATGTTTCTCAAGGTGTGGGGGGGAAAAAAAGAAAACAAAATAGAATTTCAGGCGCCTATATTTGTAAATGGGGTTTTACTCCAGCGTAATGAGAGAGCAAAAGAATTAATTTCTTTGCTGGGAGACAGAAGGCTGAAGGTCTCCTGCAGCCCCATCTCTGCACTGCTGGGCCCTGAAGCCCTTCCTCTGCTGCTAATGGGGGGACCTGGGATGCTGCCAGCCTCAGCTCCATCCTAGGGGGCAGCCCAGCATCCATGGGCCAAATGGGTGGGGGTGTGGAGGGGGTGGGCAGAGCACAGGGCCTCAACACATAGCAGTGAGTTGATAAGGGGAAGGAGCTGCCTCTGCTCTCCAGCTGCAGCCCACTGCTCCTTTTGGGGTGGGTAAATTTGGGGTTGTGTTTGCTCTAGGTGAAGTGGTAAATATTAATGATGCCACACCTTCCCCCCCCTCCCATCGCTGCACCATAACAGCATGGGGAGGAATGACTCAGAGTCATTTTATGGACTGAGGTCACTCCTTTTAAGAATATCCCTTTCGAAAGCAAGTTGCAATGAGTTGGGATCAGGCAGGGCTGGGTTCTCCTCCCTCAGATGCGATGAAATATTCTGATAAACACCTGCGGAACCCATTACAAAGAGAGCATCTCATGCTGGTGGGGCCTTTCCTGGAGCTCTGTCTGCATCGTGTCAGGGCTGAGCATCATCCCCAGGACTCCTCCAACCCCACGACGCTCTGTGTTTCTGTGTGTAATGGTAAAACACACAACTGCACCTGCGGGGATTGCAGCCTCGGTGCTGACAAGGAGAGGGCAACGGAGAGCTGCTGAGATTCCCGGTGTGCGATGGGTGCCGGTGCTGCTGCTCCACGCACGTGGTGTTGCTGCAGCCTTGTGCTCAGCCCTGCGGTCCCTTCACGCACACGTGAAGCTCTCCGTTCAGCTCCCCCCGCGGCGGGCAATGCAAATCCCTCCTCCCTACGTGGTGCCCTGGCTGGGGGTCCCGACCCCATCCCCGACATTTCCCCTTTCCTACCCAATTCCAGCCCCTATCTCATCCCTGAGCGCGCTCCGTGCCCGGCTCCACCCCGCCCCACCTCACTCAAATCCTCCCCCACCCTCCTCCCATCCCTTCTCCGTTCCCATCCCCTCACCCCCGTCCCTCCCGTTTCCCCGCCGCCCCCTCCTCTCCCATCCCGTGGCGAACGGCGGCACCGTGCGGCCGCACCGGGCAGCGCCGCTCCTTCGGGGGTGGGGGGGAACCGAGATCCGCTGCAGCGCTCCGGGGGTCCGCCCTTCAGCACGGCTACCCCCACCTCCACCGCGCTCGGATCCAACGGAGCATCACCGGGAGCGCTGCGAATGCAGGATGGGGATCTGACCTCGGTAATGGGATAAAGGGGGGGGGGGGAGGGCACAGGAGTGATGGAGCGGCGTGGGGCGGGGGGTCCCCGCGGGGTGCGGGGCGAACGGGCGCGGTGCAGTGACGGCGGCCGCCGGGGGGTGGCACGGCCGAGCCGGGCGGGAGCGGTGTCGGGTGGGGGTGCGGTCGAGGAGGGCCCCCGAGCGCCGCAGCCCCGCGTCTCCACCTTCCTCTACCCCCGCACCGGCGTCTCTGCGGTCCCGCAGCCCCACGCACGGGCATCCCTATTCCCTGCGCCTCGGTGTTCCCGCATCCACGCCTCCCCGCATCTCTCCATCACTGCATCCTTTCATATCCCCGCTCCAGGGCCGAAAATCCTTACCCTACCCCGGAGGGCAGCAGCCGGGTGCGGGAGGGGGGGGGGTGGCCGCCCAGCCCCGCACGCAGCGCCCACCGTGTCCGCATCCGCCCTGCGCCGGGGATGAGGGAGCGCCGGGGGGGATTCGGCTCCGCCGCGCAGCCACGCAGCAGCTAACGGTACGTGGGGCTGCGCGGGTGGGCGATGTGTGTGTGGGGGGGGATGAGCTGCGGGGCTGACGGTGTGTGGGGTTGATTGCGGGAATTGGGGGTACGGATACCCCATAGCACCCATGTGTGGGGCACAGACAGAGCACAGCCGGGGCACCCGGTGCCAAAAGAGCCCCGGGAAGCTGAGGGTGGGGTGGGAGAAGTGGGGTGCAAGGGTGGGCGAGGTGTGTGTGTGTGGGGGGAGGGTTTGGGGGTGTGATCTCCAAAAAGGCAGCGGACGTGTCTGGTGGGAAGGGGATTTGTGGCTGCGGATCCGTTGCTCTCCGTAATCCCAAGGAGCATCCGCTGCCATCTGCGCACTGCCACGCAATGGGGGGAGCATGGTGATGCTGGGGGGGCCGTGGTGATGCTGGGGGGGGCCGTGGTGATGCTGGGCTCTGCTCTGCCCGGCAGCTGGTGGGAGACTCCTCCCCCGCCCCCCCCCCGGGCACCATGCCTTCCTCCAAGACGGACGGCGAGTATTGGATCGATGGATCCCACCGTGAGGCTGCCCTGGAGGATTTCTACGTCGTGGGCCCTGAACTGGGACGGTACTGCCTGCATGGGGGGGGGGAAAGGGGGTGGAGGGTAGCAGGAGGATTCCCTG